GGCCTGACATCAAGAGGCCTGACAAGTGTATCAAGAGGCCTGACAAGTGTATCAAGAGGCCTGACATGTGTATCAAGAGGTCTGGCATGAGAATCAAGAGGTCTGGAATGTGTATCAAGAGGCCTGACATGAGAATCAAGAGGCCTGACATGAGAATCAAGAGGCCTGACATGAGAATCAAGAGGCCTGACATGAGAATCAAGAGGCCTGACATGAGAATCAAGAGGCCTGACATGAGAATCAAGAGGCCTGACATGTGTATCAAGAGGCCTGACATGTGTATCAAGAGGCCTGACATGTGTATCAAGAGGCCTGACATGTGTATCAAGAGGCCTGACATGAGAATCAAGATGAGAATCAAGAGGCCTGACATGAGAATGTGATCAAGAGGCCTGACATGAGAAGAGGCCTGACAAAGAATCATGACCTGACATGAGAATCAAGAGGCCTGACATGAGAATCAAGAGGCCTGACATGTGTATCAAGAGGCCTGACATGAGAATCAAGAGGCCTGACATGTGTATCAAGAGGCCTGACCTGACATGAGAATCAAGAGGCCTGACATGAGAATCAAGAGGCCTGACCTGACCTGAGAATCAAGAGGTCTGGCATGAGAATCAAGAGGCCTGACATGAGAATCAAGAGGCCTGACCTGACATGAGAATCAAGAGGTCTAGCATGAGAATCAAGAGGTCTGGAATGTGTATCAAGAGGCCTGACAAGAGAATCAAGAGGCCTGACATGAGAATCAAGAGGCCTGACATGTGTATCAAGAGGCCTGACATGTGTATCAAGACGTCTAACCTGTATCAAGAGGCCTGACATGTCACAAAGTGATTGAGGCCCATGCACAATGTAAAGAGATGACAGTGTTGTTCATGTTCATCAACAACCAGGCTACTTCCTCAGTAGGGTCACTGTCTCCTTAATACGAATCTGACCGACTTCAGCCAGATAACATTCACATGTTCCCAGAAGAAGATGCCAAGTCATGGCAAGATTCCATGTTTATCTTGGAGAGATAAAAAGTTTCCCATCTGTCAACTGTCAATCTCACTGTCATGAGGGTAGATACATAGGGCACTGATTTAAAAATCCACTACATACATTCATACAGTTTGGACAGGACACTGTTGTCAGGGTAGATACACAGGACACTGTTGTCAGGGTAGATACACAGGACACTGTTGTCAGGGTAGATACACAGGGATCAGATTTAAGAATCCACTAAGTACATTCATACAGTTTGAACAATGGTTTATCAAACTACCATGAACTGAAGAAAACAAATTACTCAATTAATCCTCATAATTAAATTGGATATTGAAAACAATATGACATTTACAATTGTTTTGTCAAAACAATAATATAGATAAAAGCAGGCAGAAATGATCAGATTGAAAAACATTCCAGGTGAAGTGCATATGGTGGTGTGACGTGTATCATGTTTGCGCACACCTTGACACGCCCACAAAGTCAGAAGTCAATCAAGGAGAAGTTCACAGGAAAAAAGTGAGAAGAGTGAATGAGTAAGTATGGTTTTACGTCGCTTTTAGCAATATTTCAGCAATATCATGTCATGGCACACCAGAAATGGGCTTCACACCAGAAATGGGCTTCACACACTGAGCCCACACACATTACCCATGAGCGGAATCGAACCCGGGTCTTCAGCGTGACGAGTGGACGCTTTAACCATTAGGCTACTCTACAATCAGACTGTACTGAACCAGAACAAGCATTGTCACTAAGGTGACATAATGCCCCACCGCAAATTATCAAATCAAACTTAAAAAGTAATGAAAGTGAAGGTCGTAATTTAAGATGAAGTTAAATGTCAACAAAAACATGACCAGTCAACCTGTTGATATCTTGTTCTGAAGTTGTTCAAACACACAAATATTTTCAAAACTGACTCTGACCTTGACATGAATGTCTTAGTGTATGAAATATGCAATAATAGTAATAACTGCTTATTGAAAAACATTCAAATCTTGAAAGTCTATGAAGAAAATTCAGTGAACTGTTCTTGAGATATCTCACTGACAATCTTAACATGCAGGTTAACATGCTGAAATCTTCAAAATGTCGCCGTGACCTTGAAAACTATGTGAAGGTCACCAAAATCGACTGGGCCATGCACCTTCCCTGGATGAAGCTTGATGTCAAATATGAAGAAAATCCAGTGAACGGTACTTGAGGTATCTTGCTGACAAGCTTAACATGCAGCTTAACATGCTGAACTCTTCAAAGTGTTGCTGTGACCTTGAAAATTCAGTGAAGGTCACCAAAATCAACTGGGCCCTGCGCCTTCCCTAGGTAAAGCTTGGTTTTGAATATGAAGAAAATCAAGTGAACGGTTCTTGAGATATCTCGCTGACAAGGGTAAAACGTTAAAGACCCCTTGTGGCCTTGAAATGAAGGTCAAGATCACCAAACCTGACTGGGACCTTTCTTATACTGTGATGAACCTAGGTACCAAGTATGAAAAGAATCTAGTCAACGGTTCTTAAGATTTTCCAATTTGGACGGAGCCTAATAGTATATCCCCCGAGCAGGAGATAACGAGTATATGTAAGGAAGGACAGTCTTTAAAATGAGTTGGTCAGTAACTGGCAGATTCTGGCATTGGTTGGAATGGGCAGTCACAGCTGAAAAATGATGACAAAATGAGAACATATGTAATTTGTGAATCCCAGACAAGCGAAACACCTTCCGATATAGACCTTGTCGGCCCTGCAGGTATGTTCCATTCATTCTGAGCTTTAGGCATCGAAAGGTTGTTTGAGCGATTTTGTATATGTACGAATATTGCTAAAATATAATGTGCACAAATAATACTGACTTATATTCCAAGGTCCATACTGACTAACATTCCAAGGTCCATACTGACTAACATTCCAAGGTCCATACTGACTGATGCAACATTACTTGTACAACTTTCAACAGTGACACAGCCAAACTCATTGCATCTGCACCATTGGAAACTCCTGCCTTTGATTTTAGGTCAAGCATTTGAAGATAGGTTTGTGAGGATTTCAAATATTATTCGACGGAATCGCGGTCTCTGTGCACACCATAACCAATACATAGTCTGTATTATATCATTTGATGATTAGGTTTTATAATCTTAAAGCAGATATACACTCATATATTTCATGGCAAATGGGTGACAGCGGCATCAATTTGTTGACACAAAATCTTTATGATTTCGAGTGAAGTGTACCATACTCAGAGGTAATAGCCTGGGGGCTGTCATGAGGCCCAGATAACAAGCAAACAGGTGCCCTGATTTATGTGGGCTGGTTATACACTGATGTTACTTGTTCACCGCACCCTAAATCCCAAACACAGTCCTATAGTCATATATCTCAGCAGCAATGGTCGATTGTTTGGTAAACTCCACGGGCATATTAACAGTAAACTCCACGGGCATATTAACAGTGTTAGTGGGCTGCATATATTTCTCTCTGTAGGGTCACCATGGTAACCCACTGATATCATTAGTGTGGATCACTGCAGGTAGAAGACTTATGTAACCACGGTAACCCACTGATGTCACTGTGGTGGATCACTACAGGTGTGTGACTTATGTAACCATGGTAACCCACTGATGTCACTGTGGTGGATTGCTGCAGGTGTGTGACTTATGTAACCATGGTAACCCACTGATGTCACTGTGGTGGATCACTACAGGTGTGTGACTTATGTAACCACAGTAACCCACTGATGTCACTGTGGTGGATCACTACAGGTGTCTGACTTATGCGCGGTGGGCGAGCTGTTTAAGGCACCAGGCTAGTGATCCAGCGAGGTTGAGGTGTCGGGATCGAGCCCACCTTGACCGGGTGTAAAAACCCACTGATGTCACGGTGGTGAATTGCTGCAGGTGTGTGACTTATGTAACCATGGTAACCCACTGATGTCACTGTGGTGGATTGCTGCAGGTGTGTGACTTATGTAACCATGGTAACCCACTGATGTCACTGTGGTGGATTGCTGCAGGTGTGTGACTTGTGTTGCCATGTTCCACCTGAGAGACATCGACCAGATACATAGTTGTAGGTAATTCCTGACAAGATGATATCAGCAGCAGTTTTCATTATTAATCTTATCATAGGGACAATTTGTGAGATAAAGATGTCTGGCTGTACTAAAAGAAAGCAAGAAAAAAGGTACAAGAAATTGTTGCATTTGAAAAGTTTGAAATCAAACCCCAATAAAAGTACTGCTGACTATCTCATGGCTGCACATGAAGTGGCAGACATTTTGTGTGCTGAGGTAGTTAATTCAGTTTGAGAAATACGACCTGCATGTACAGTCCGTGACAAACATATCAGCCCCCAATGTATCACACTATGTATCACTATATACTGCAACACAGTGTTTCAACCAATGCTCATCCCTAGCTGACAGGCCTCAGTCATGTGATAACAGGCTCTAACAGCAGTCTCTAACAGTAGCCTCTGTCCTTGTAGTGAACAACACATGCCACATGGACGTTCCAGCACAGATCAAACCCTGACCTGAACTGTGAATTATGACATAATAAACATTGAAGTACAGTTCTTATCAGTGATCATACAAACAGGTCAGGTGAAACATGATGCACCCAAATATGGAAGGCTGATCACATTGGCTGTTCTGAAACATGCAGTAACAAAATAGACTCTGGGAATGGTGAAATGTATTGTAACTTAAAACTGAGGAATGGTGAAAGGTTTTGTCTAAATTCTTCAGATGGAGAATTGTATTTTGTCTCAAACTGCAGGAATCGTGAAGTGTATTGTAATGTAAAACTGAGGAATGGTGCAGTAGACCTTTGTCATCTAATGCTGCATCCATCTGGCACAAGTACCTAAAGAACAAAACGGCCTGACCACTCAACCAATCAGGTGGTGTCTTATTCAACTTTATAATCTGACTATACAAACATCTCCATGCCAACAAGACACGTGGCTGTGTACTACTGAGCAGTGAGCAGAAGATGAGAAGGATACTGATGAAGAAAGCCTTGAGTTGATTTTGTGATAAAGTCTCCAGACTGACATTGTGCAGCAATGCAGCCTGAGTCTTGTATTCTTTGAAAACATCACTATTGGCAAGATCAGTGTAGTTGACGCCACGGCCCTCCCCCGTCATGAAGTCCCCCTTCAACCTGCAACAGCAACGTGTATTAACAACCTACCAGCAGAAATTGTGGATCTGTCCGCAGCAAACTAGTCTGTCTCACAGTCCCTGAACCACATTAATTTCCCTACTGCCAAGCCCTCTCTGCAGTGCTAAAGCCCTAAATAAAGCAAGTCTAGATTTCCTCTGAATCTCTGGTCTCCCTAGGGCTCCTTTTCAATATAAATGGGCTTGTTTGTTACTATCAAAATTATATATATTCAGAGACTAAGCCTTAGTCTAGCAGCAAACCTGTTGTGTAAGTTCCCAATCATTGAAGAGAGAAGCTGTTTAACATATGTTATATTTGGGATTACACTTTCTCAGTAAAGTACAGATTCTAGTACTTTTATTGGGTTGAGTCCATTCCGGGATTTGAACTCACACCCTCAAAGTCAGGCACCTAATCGCCAGCACACAAGTGTGAAGCTGTTGTTATAACAATAAATGTGAATTATCTTTGTACGTTCCCTGTCAGTGAAGTATGAAGCTGTTGTTAAAATATAAATCTCCATCATAGTTTTAGCCAGGTATATGTAGAACATGTTTGGTAAATAAATTATAAATTTCCAACAGTTTTAGCCAGGTATATGTAGAACATGTTTGGTAAATATATTATAAATCTCCAACATAGTTTTAGTATATGTAGAACATGTTTGGTAAATATATTATAAATTTCCAACATAGTTTTAGCCAAGTATATGTAGAACATGTTTGGTAAATATATTATAAATTTCCAACATAGTTTTAGCCAAGTATATGTAGAACATGTTTGGTAAATATATGATAAATCTCCAACATAGTTTTAGCCAGGTATATGTAGAACATGTTTGGTAAATATATTATAAATTTCCAATAGTTTTATCCAGGTATATGTAGACCATGTTTGGTAAATATATTATAAATTTCCAGCATAGTTTTAGCCAGGTATATGTAGAACATGTTTGGTGAATATATTATAAATTTCCAACAGTTTTAGCCAGGTATATGTAGAACATGTTTGGTAAATATATTATAAATTTCCAACAGTTTTAGCCAGGTATATGTAGAACATGTTTGGTAAAATATTATAAATATAAAGTGAATAGCAAAGCTAGTGTTTGGAGAGAAGTGTTTTACACCAGTGCTATGAGATTAATGGTGAGAGGGTGTCTTTGGAGTTAACAACACAAAACTATGCCAAGCAAATATTGATATGGATTCTCTCATTAATCAAGGGTCATAGCAGGTGTTATGAGGCAGGCTTGTCCACCCAACACAAATTTGTTATTATATCAGTACTTTTTTGGGCAGTATAAGATGTCAAAGCACATCCATGAACTGCACAGGGTCATTCTATTATATGGTCTCTGGTCCAACTGTGATCACAGTTCTTTATGATATTCGTCCGATGCTCCTGAGTGTCACTAAACAGAGGCCCAGATAAGCTGCGTATCCGGGTAAAATACGCATAGAAAATTTCCAATTACGCATTGAAAAATAATTGTTGCGTACCAATTACGCATTTAAAATGTAAAATACACAAAAAGTTTAAAACAAATGCGTACGGAATATATTTATAAAAATCGCTTGTGTAATCAAAAAGATATCGATTGCTATCAAGTTGTACTGTTAGTATAGGACTAGTGTTGTACTGTCAGTATTGGATAAGTGATTTTTTTATGAAATCATTTCCATTATATTTAAGTTGGTTTTGATTAGATATGATACAAGGCAGGACATACCTGCTTAGTAAACATGCTCAATGACATAATACTTAGGTGAGTAAAATGACTGAAATACGCACATATTTGAAAGCAGTGGGTAACGGAAAATGAAATACCCCCTCAACATTCATAATACAATCCAAAATGAAAGAAAGAAAGAAAGAACCCACATGAGCTAAATCTTATCTGGACACTGGCTGAAACATGCTAAAGTCAGCCGAATGTTGCGCTGAACAGGCATCAAGTTGGTGCGTTGGAGCATGACATCAGCTCACGCAATTAGTACAAATGGTAAAGAAAGCAAGCGAGTGACCTATCCCTGTTGTAGAGTATCCCTGAATGTACGTACTATATCCTCAAAACGAATACTAGCCTAACGAAATAGTTATCCAACGTAGATCAAACATAACTGACAATATATTTCTAGTAAATTATATCTTGGTAACTGTAACTTATCACATAAATGTTGCCTGGTAGAGCAGTCATCGGTATACAGTACCATTGGTATGTGAAATCTGAGCAACGCATTGAAGATCCCGTGAGAAATTAATTAGTAGCGTCTGCACTCATCTACAGGTGAGGTGAAACAGCGAACCTTGTTGACATTCCTTTCTGAGTTAGCATTTATCCTCTGTCATGAAAATTTACCAACGAAAACACCCATGTAGATAAATTACTCACCTTAGCATAGACTTCTGCAACTTTTTTGCAAGGTCATTGGCTGATAGTGACGTACTGTCCGGGGGTTTGTCCCCGTTCAGAATTCGCATCTCAGAACCGTCCGCCATGCTTGGAGTTTTCTGTGTCAACGCCACCTGGTGGCATGTGTCAACTGCCCTGTGATGTACGCCTGTATATCTATCGAAGCTTACGTACAATGCTCATATATATGCCACAATCTGGCTGAGTCATTGTCACACTGCTGATCACTGTCTCGCCTTGGTATTTGTCAGATCGTTCGTGGCTGTCTCAAACAATTATATTTTATGTCAGCTGTTTTACAAAATACATTGACTAGATAACACCCCAGCCAACACGAAAACTGTTATGAAATCATCCCCAAAACATTTCGCGAAATGTTCCAGAAATGTTATTTAAAACGTTTTATTCACGTGATTTTGTATGGCTCCAAAAGCGTTTCAGAAACATTTTCGAAAACGTTTGGCTATAATGTTTTCAAAATGTTTGGGCGAAATGGTTAGCAAATGTTTTCAAAAAGTGTTTTGTTAACGTGAATTTGTATAGTTCCAGAAGCATTTTAGTAATCTTTTTTCTGAATATTTGGTTATAACATTTCAATGATGTTTTGCAAAATATTCCAGAAAGGCTTCTGAAAACGTTTTATTGACGTGAATTTGTAAGATTCTGGAAACGTTTTAATAACATGTCCAGTAGTCTCAGACATTTACAGTTTATTGTATTATTTGGCACACGTGTCCATAATGCTTTTAAAACATGGTGACAATATTTCGTTAATATGTTCTTTAATAACATTTCTTCAGTGTTATAAAATGTGAAATACTTTCGCCCATGTTGTTCACATAGCATGATGTTCTTCAATGGCATTTAAAACAATTTCACTAACATTTTTAATCGTTTTGAAACAGAACGTTACGGAAACGTATTGACCAGAGCCCATATCGGTATGTGGTCTCTGGTTCTGACAAAAATGTTGTTGAAAAACTATTTTGAAAACATATGGAAATGTTTCGAAAATGTTTTGTGTTAGCTTGGGCGTGGACAGCTTTTGGTCGATCCGTTTACAAATCGGTGGACACGTACATATAGATAACCAAGTACACTACTCGTTCGTCTAATGGCAAATTCGCATATTTTGACAGCCGTAATAACAGCATGAGTCTCATCAGGGATTCCAACCCACCCGCTCAGAGTGAGACGCCTTTTCCCCGGCACGCAGAATCAGCGATCTTCTCACTCAGCCAACGTGGCTTCCACAAAAATTGGAAGTCTGACAACTGGTAGTCTGGACCACAGACTCTATTTATCCCTCTGACAACTGCAAATCTACAAAGTGGTCCAATGAAACATGATACATGTAACATATGATATACATGTATTTGGAATGTCACTTTACAGACTTGGACGGGTGATTTATAGTTAGTTCTACTTGATCACAACGAAACCCGTGAACATCCGGGTAAGAATTGGTCTTCAGCAACCCATGCTTGTCGTAAAGGCGACTAACGAGGTCGGGTGTCCAGGCTCGCCGACTGGGTTGACATACGTCATCGCATCCCAGTTACGTAGATCGATGCTGATGATGTCAGTCACTGGATTGTCTGGTCCAGACTCGAGTATTTATACACCGCCGTCATACAGCTGGAACATTGTACAGCCCCCGTGAGTACGATCAGCTTGTACAGCTCCGTAAATATGATCAGCTTGTACAGCTCCTGTATGTATACGTGATCAGCTTGTACAGCCCCCGTAAGTATGATCAGCCTGTACAGCCCCCGTAAGTATGATCAGTTTGTACAGCTCCTGTATGTATACGTGATCAGCTTGTACAGCTCCTCTAAGTACGATCAGTTTGTACCGTGCCTGTAAGTACGATCAGCTTGTTCAGTTCCTGTAAGTATAGGTGATCAGCTTGTTTAGCTCCTGTAAGTACGATCAGCTTGTACAGCGCCCGAAAGTATTCGTGATCATCTTGTACAGCGCCCGTAAGTACGATCAGTTTGTACAGCGCGTGTAAGTACGATCAGCTTGTACAGCTTTTGTAAGTATACGCGATCAGCTTGTACAGCGCCCGTAAGTATACGTTATCAGTTTGGACAGGGGCCGTAAGTACGATCAGCTTCTTCAGCGCCCGTAAGTATACGTTATCAGTTTGGACAGCGCCCGTGAGTACGATCAGCTTGTTCAGCTTTTGTAAGTATACGCGATCAGCTTGTTCAGCTCCTCTAAGCATGATCACTTTGTACAGCGCCTGTAAGTACGATCAGCTTGTAAAGCGCCCGTAAGTACACGTTATCAGTTTGGACAGCGCCCGTAAGTACGGTCAGCTTGTACAGCTCCCGTAAGTACACGTTATCAGTTTGGACAGCGCCCGTAAGTACGGTCAGCTTGTACAGCTCCCGTAAGTACACGTTATCAGTTTGGACAGCGCCCGTAAGTATGATCAGCTTGTTCAGCGCCCGTAAGTACACGTTATCAGTTTGGACAGCGCCCGTAAGTATGATCAGCTTGTTCAGCGCCCGTAAGTGTACGTACGACCGTGGGAATCTGGTGTGGACATGAGGAAGTGTCGTAACTGGCGTTTGGGTGTTAGTAAACCTTGTTACCTATTAAGATGGCCGTTCCGGATTGTCAGGGGTGATGTAAGCTCAAGTTACGCACTCGTAAAAACATTCAACCTTCGACATATCATCGCCATACTATTGAAAGTCCCTTAGTAATGTTAAATGTTTTGTGAACTGACATTTTGTCATGACTCGCTCTAGATTCAACAAGCCCGCCATCCCCCACACATCCATATATGGCCAGCCTCTTATTTCCCAACAAAGAAGATAAATTCTAAATCTTTGTTTTTGGTACGATCTATTTTCGTAGCGATATCAGTTTAGAATATATTCAGACACTGGAATTTGTTTCGGCATTAAGAGGTATTTCAATCAGTGAAGAAAATCGTTTTGAATTTGAGCTGTGAATTATAAGGGACCGTTCATAATTTATGCCTAAGTGATTTTATGGGGTGGGTAAGTGGGATGTGCGTGTCACCCATTTTGTTCTAGGGAGGTGTGTTTGTGTTTGTGTTTGTGTTTGTGTGTGTGTGTGTGTGTGTGTGTGTACTTTGTACTTAAATTATAGGGGGGGGGTCATTCACATATTGTACGTGCTTCTCCATAAAATTCATCATCATCATCACACACACGCACACATCCATAAATCATGAACGATCCCTATAGTAACTAGACAAAATATTTACTTCTTTCCTATAAAACACCCGTTCTTCCATTAAGTGAAAGTGTTACGACATATGTAACGTGTTATGCTTATACTTTGGATTAGAAACAAAATTAAAAACACCATGAGTTCTCCTGAAGCAACCACACCCGGGCTGAACACCTCATTTTGACGAAAAACGACACCTTCCGCATTAAACCACGCCGAAGTTTGGCACTTATAATAATTAATGAACAATCTTAGCGCTAAGGTGACCGTAACTCCCATACCTTAACATAGACTTAAGGTAGTCTTAGCGCTAAGGTTGTTTTGAACAACAGCACCCAGGCACCGACTGAAGCACTGACTCGGCTCCTGTCTAGCGTATATTGGTAATAGCGCACAACCAGATACGCGTATTAAGTGTGAAACCAGTTACGTTGTACTTCCGGTAGTTTCTGCCACACGAAGTTGATCAGCACTGTCAGATCAACTGTGTTTGAACTCGACACAAGAACTGACATTTCCCAGTATGACGGAGGAACGAAATTTTAGATCATGTTATTACGACAAGTGCGGATTTCGAGCTGTTGAGGAAAAGAAATCCATTGAAATCTTGTTGAAAGAGCAGCCGATGGATGTGGAAAAACTGTCCCAGTTTTGTCTCCGATTTCCAGTGCCCACTAAATACAGACATTATGTTTGGAAAATTCTCCTGGGTAAAGTTTCAAGCGATTTATAGTTTGTTAAATACTTTGTTAAAGTCAACAATGTTAAAACCTACATTGCCAACGGACCACATGTAGGACCTCATTGCAGCCCTCGGCTACCTGAAGAATAACCCTTGTGTTATTTAGGCCTTGCACGACACATCTGTGCTTTTGTGATGCATCATTTATTTTTATCCTTATATCCTTTCCTTCATTGATAAAATATCGCCCATCGTGGTTTTCGTGAAAACATCTTGTTGAGAAAGGTGTATCCAGATGTACAAACCAGGGCTCCAGATAAGGGCCGTATCGGCGTATGTACGGATAAAAAATATGCACGACACGATAGGAAATAATTTAGAAAACTTAGCAGATACGCACAACAGCAATGGTGTACGGTCTTAGAATCATTTACACACGTATTTATCTGAAAAGGTATTGTTTTATTGTTCATTGACCTGTTTACACAAGAGTAGCAATGTTGTGGTGCATATATGAAACACAAGATTACTGATACTCCATTAAATTCCATTCAGTACTCTCCTGATGTCTCCTGATGTTGAAAAATTATCTGGAGCCCTGCAAACTCATCTGATAATGATATTTTACAATTCTGTTTGATGTGTTGTGCATGTATATACTCAGAAGAGTTGCATGCAGTGAACTGATATAAAATATCCTTGCTGTTCATGACACGTTTTATGGATAACAACTTCTCTTTATTCTTTATCACTGTGCTAAATGACATTAAGAAATGATTTTTTACATCTGGGTGCAGTGGCGGATCCAGAGGGTGGTGGGTGGGGGTTGAAGGGGTTTTAACCCCTCTCTTGAAAATGACTAAAGACCACATTGAAGTTAATGTTTTGCATTGGCGGAGCCAAGGAGGGTTCAGGGGTTCGGACCCCCCTGAAAATGTCTGGATCCGCCTATGGGGTGCACTACAAACCGACTTGTTTAAAGTAGGAAACTCGTTCCAAAAAGCAACTGAACCTATGACAACAGTGATCCCCTTAACATAAGTTGTTCAAGCATAAACTCATCATATATACTACAGTACCAATGAAACCCACCAGTGATCTGCCTAAATATTAAACTGTGGTTAATGTTGAATGGTTTGAGGCTTTTTTTCAATATGGCCACTATGTCAGGCATATAAAAAAATTATTTTGTGGCAATTTCTCTGCCATTTTTATGCAAAATGTAATGAAATATGGGATTTGCATTTGCAGTTAAAAATCTTATATGTTTTTTGATAAAATTCTCTCAAAATGAATTTATATGTCACAGGGGCTCGTAATGCTAAAAACTGCTATCATGGTTTACACTGTCACTAACAGGGTCTTAGTACTATATAAAAAAAGCCTCATCAAGGTACAGTACTATATGAAAGGATATATATAGTACTAGGACCCCATTTGTGACAGTATATACCTTGATGGCAGTTTTTAGCATTACAAGCCCATGTGAACGTCTCTGTTGAAATTGCTGACTGAAGGAGCTCAATTCTAACATGTTCTTCTTTTCATGGCGTACCTTCTAAATCATTTCTTTCTTTTTATTTGGTATGTATGCTGAAAATACTTGAATATCAATTCTGACTGGGACTTTTGTTTTGTGGTAATTGTTTTTGGAGATTTTTACCTACCGCTGACTTAGTGTCGAGATGAGCCTCAGTACACCAGCCCCATTTCAAGCATTGTTTATATGTTGTTATTCAGACATTGTCAGTGTTTTGTTGTCTATAGGCGTGTTGCCCTCCCACCAGCCGTCCCACACATATGTCAGTCAGCAACACCGGGCCATGTACCAGGATGGACTCCACTGTCTCACGGTGCTGCGCAGAGTGAACGAGGACACACCCACTGAAGAAGTCTTTCTTAAACTGTATCTTTTAGAAGAAGGAAACCTGCCATTTGAGGAAAAAAATCTGGTATGCATCAAAAGTAGGAGAAATTTATTTATTTGTTTGTTTGTTTGTTTATTTATTTATTTTATTTATTTATTTATTTATTTATATTATTTATCATCCATCCATCCATCCATTTTAAAGTCACACTGTAGCATTCGATCAACTATGTCTGGAAACCATCTGAGGCCATTCCCTGGCTTCAACTTGTTTGATTTTGTTTTGCTGTCATGATTTTTTTTGATGATGTGTTGTAACCATGGTAACCGTGTCACTGAGATAGCTATGTTTTGTGCAGTACTCAGATCCAGCATATGTTGCGTTCATGTTGATGGCCGGTGCTGTTAGTAACGTTGCTGATGCTGACATCGACAGATACTGGATCACATCCCGCTTCTACAGATACTTCCTCAAGTTCAGCGAAAATCTTCCTCTCATGGTGAGCTTGTTAACTTCTTGTGCAGCAGCATATGTCACATCCTCGATAATCTCCAGGGTATACGTTACGATCACTATATAGTGGAGAGTGATCGTAACGAACGCATACCCTGGAGATTATATATAGGGAGAGTGATCGTAACGTATACCCTGGAGATTATATAGTGGAGAGTGATCGTAACGTATACCCTGGAGATTATATAGTGGAGAGTGATCGTAACGTATACCCTGGAGATTATATAGTGGAGAGTGATCGTAACGTATACCCTGGAGATTATCGAGGATGCATATGTCACTGACTTTATTACTCTTTCATGTTCATGTGTATTCCTCTTGTCACAAACTTTAAGCACTGCATTAACCATCCTCTGTCTGACACAGTTTTGTTTTCTACAATCATTCCCTCTGTCTGACACAGTTTTGTTTTCTACAATCATTCCCTCTGTCTGACACAGTCTTGTTTATTACAATGATTCCTTGTTCCTCCAGCCGGAGAAGACCGTCCTCTGCCTGAAGAAGGAAGATGTTGACAAGAAGCTGCTCCTTCATCTGCAGGAGAACAACGTACTGAGTTCTCTCCCTTTGATGGACTGGTTCAGGTGCTGTTTTGCAGGTGTTCTACCGGACATTTCATTTGAAAGGTAAATACTAACCTCCTTACAAGTACATACAGGCCTTGACTGATTGGTAACATTTGTCTCTGGAAGAAATTCCTTGTCTTTGGTGAATACTTACCGTGTCTAATGTCACAACACTTCTTGTCTCAGGTAAATGCTACCCTTGTCTCAGATAAATGCTCACCTTGTCTCAGGTAGATGCTCACCTTGTCTCAGGTAAATACCTTATGTAATTCCTGTAGAGAACACCATGTTACTGTGGTGAGATGGATGCACTATTGGCATCAGTGTTCACTAACAGCTTTCTACATCGTATAACAGTGTTGTGTGTGAGGTAACATAGCAGCGTCTCTGTCTACAGGGTGTGGGACAAGGTGCTGGGCAGTGTTGTGTGTGAGGTAACATAGCAACGTCTCTGTCTACAGGGTGTGGTACAAGGTGCTGGTCAGTGTTGTGTGTGAGGTAACATAGCCAGCCGTCTCTGTCTGCAGGGTGTGGGACAAGGTGCTGGTCAGTGTTGTATGTGAGGTAACATAGCCACGTCTCTGTCTACAGGGTGTGGGACAAGGTTCTGGTCAGTGTTGTGTGTGAGGTAACATAGCAACGTCTCTGTCTACAGGGTGTGGGACAAGGTGCTGGTCAGTGTTGTGTGTGAGGTAACATAGCAACGTCTCTGTCTACAGGGTGTGGGACAAGGTGCTGGTCAGTGTTGTGTGTGAGGTAACATAGCAACGTCTCTGTCTACAGGGTGTGGGACAAGGTGCTGGTCAGTGTTGTGTGTGAGGTAACATAGCAACGCCTCTGTCTACAGGGTGTGGGACAAGGTGCTGGGCAGTGTTGTGTGTGAGGTAACATAGCAACGCTGGGCAGTCTCTGTCTACAGGGTGTGGGACAAGGTGCTGGTCAGTGTTGTGTGTGAGGTAACATAGCCACGTCTCTCTACAGTCTACAGGGTGTGGTACAAGGTGCTGGGACAGTGTTGTGTGTGAGGTAACATAGCAACGCGTCTCTGTCTACAGGGTGTGGGACAAGGTGCTGGGCAGTGTTGTGTGTGAGGTAACATAGCCACGTCTCTGTCTACAGGGTGTGGGACAAGGTGCTGGGCAGTGTTGTGTGTGTGTGAGGTAACATAGCCACGTCTCTGTCTACAGGGTGTGGGACAAGGTGCTGGTCAGTGTTGTGTGTGAGGTAACATAGCCACGCGTCTCTGTCTACAGGGTGTGGGACAAGGTGCTGGGCAGTGTTGTGTGTGAGGTAACATAGCAACGCCTCTGTCTACAGGGTGTGGGACAAGGTGCTGGGCAGTGTTGTGTGTGAGGTAACATAGCAAGCGTCTCTGTCTACAGGGTGTGGGACAAGGTGCTGGTCAGTGTTGTGTGTGAGGTAACATAGCCACGCCTCTGTCTACAGGGTGTGGGACAAGGTGCTGGTCAGTGTTGTGTGTGAGGTAACATAGCCACGCCTCTGTCTACAGGGTGTGGGACAAGGTGCTGGTCAGTGTTGTGTGTGAGGTAACATAGCAACGTCTCTGTCTACAGGGTGTGGGACAAGGTGCTGGTCAGTGTGTGTGTGAGGTAACATAGCTGGGCAGTGTTACAGGGTGGGACAAGGTGCTGGTCAGTGTTGTGTGTGAGGTAACATAGCGTCTCTGTCTACAGGGTGTGGGACAAGGTGCTGGGCAGTGTTGTGTGTGAGGTAACATAGCAACGTCTCTGTCTACAGGGTGTGGGACAAGGTGCTGGTCAGTGTTGTGTGTGAGGTAACATAGCAACGTCTCTGTCTACAGGGTGTGGGACAAGGTGCTGGTCAGTGTTGTGTGTGAGGTAACATAGCAACGCCTCTGTCTACAGGGTGTGTGTGAGGTACAAGGTGCTGGGCAGGTGTTGTGTGTGAGGAGGTAATAGCAACGCCTCTGTCTGTCTACAGGGTGTGGGACAAGGTGCTGGGCAGTGTTGTGTGTGAGGTAACATAGCAACGTCTCTGTCTACAGGGTGTGGGACAAGGTGCTGGTCAGTGTTGTGTGTGAGGTAACATAGCAACGTCTCTGTCTACAGGGTGTGGGACAAGGTGCTGGGCAGTGTTGTGTGTGAGGTAACATAGCCACGTCTCTGTCTACAGGGTGTGGGACAAGGTGCTGGTCAGTGTTGTGTGTGAGGTAACATAGCAACGTCTCTGTCTACAGGGTGTGGGACAAGGTGCTGGGCAGTGTTGTGTGTGAGGTAACATAGCAACGTCTCTGTCTACAGGGTGTGGGACAAGGTGCTGGGCAGTGTTGTGTGTGAGGTAACATAGCCACGCGTCTCTGTCTACAGGGTGTGGGACAAGGTGCTGGTCAGTGTTGTGTGTGAGGTAACATAGCAACGTCTCTGTCTACAGGGTGTGGGACAAGGTGCTGGGCAGTGTTGTGTGTGAGGTAACATAGCCACGTCTCTGTCTACAGGGTGTGGGACAAGGTGCTGGGCAGTGTTGTGTGTGAGGTAACATAGCCACGCTCTGTCTACAGGGTGTGGGACAAGGTTCTGGTCAGTGTTGTGTGTGAGGTAACATAGCCACGTCTCTGTCTACAGGGTGTGGGACAAGGTGCTGGGCAGTGTTGTGTGTGAGGTAACATAGCAACGTCTCTGTCTACAGGGTGTGGGACAAGGTGCTGGGCAGTGTGTGTGTGTGAGGTAACATAGCAACGCCTCTGTCTACAGGGTGTGGGACAAGGTGCTGGGCAGTGTTGTGTGTGAGGTAACATAGCCAAGCGTCTCTGTCTACAGGGTGTGGGACAAGGTGCTGGTCAGTGTTGTGTGTGAGGTAACATAGCCACGTCTCTGTCTACAGGGTGTGGGACAAGGTGCTGGTCAGTGTTGTGTGTGAGGTAACATAGCCACGCCTCTGTCTACAGGGTGTGGGACAAGGTGCTGGGCAAGTGTTGTGTGTGAGGTAACATAGCCAGCGTCTCTGTCTACAGGGTGTGGACAAGGTGCTGGGCAGTGTTGTGTGTGAGGTAACATAGCCATCTCTGTCTACAGGGTGTGGGACAAGGTGCTGGTCAGTGTTGTGTGTGAGGTAACATAGCAACGTCTCTGTCTACAGGGTGTGGGACAAGGTGCTGGGCAGTGTTGTGTGTGAGGTAACATAGCCAACGTCTCTGTCTACAGGGTGTGGGACAAGGTGCTGGTCAGTGTTGTGTGTGAGGTAACATAGCAACGTCTCTGTCTACAGGGTGTGGGACAAGGTGCTGGTCAGTGTTGTGTGTGAGGTAACATAGCAACGTCTCTGTCTACAGGGTGTGGTACAAGGTGCTGGTCAGTGTTGTGTGTGAGGTAACATAGCCACGCTCTCTGTCTGGGCAGTGTTGTGTGAGAGGTACAAGGTGCTGGGCAGTGTTGTGTGTGAGGTAACATAGCAACGTCTGTCTACAGGGTGTGGGACAAGGTGCTGGGCAGTGTTGTGTGTGAGGTAACATAGCAACGCGTCTCTGTCTACAGGGTGTGGGACAAGGTTCTGGTCAGTGTTGTGTGAGAGGTAACATAGCAACGCCCTCTGTCTACAGGGGTGTGGACAAGGTTGGTCAGTGTTGTGTGTGAGGTAACATAGCAACGTCTCTGTCTACAGGGTGTGGGACAAGGTGCTGGTCAGTGTTGTGTGTGAGGTAACATAGCCACGTCTCTGTCTACAAGGTGCTGGGCAGTGTTGTGTGTGAGGTAACATAGCCACGTCTCTGTCTACAGGGTGTGGGACAAGGTGCTGGTCAGTGTTGTGAGAGGTAACATAGTCTACAGGGTGTGGGACAGGTGCTGGACAGTGTTGTGTGAGAGGTAACTGTCTACAGGGTGTGGGACAAGGTGCTGGTCAGTGTTGTGTGTGAGGTAACATAGCCACGTCTCTGTCTACAGGGTGTGGGACAAGGTGCTGGTCAGTGTTGTGTGTGAGGTAACATAGCCACGTCTCTGTCTACAGGGTGTGGGACAAGGTTCTGGTCAGTGTTGTGTGTGAGGTAACATAGCCACGTCTCTGTCTACAGGGTGTGGGACAAGGTGCAAGGTGCTGGTCAGTGTTGTGTGTGAGGTAACATAGCCACGTCTCTGTCTACAGGGTGTGGGACAAGGTGCTGGGCAGTGTTGTGTGTGAGGTAACATAGCCACGTCTCTGTCTACAGGGTGTGGGACAAGGTGCTGGTCAGTGTTGTGTGAGAACATAACATAGCGTCAAGGTGCTCTGTCTACAGGGTGTGGGACAAGGTGCTGAGGCAGTGTTGTGTGTGAGGTAACATAGCCACGCCTCTGTCCACTGTGGGACAAGGTGCTGGGCAGTGTTGTGTGGTAACATAAGGTCTACAGGGTGTGGGACAACGTGCTGGGCAGTGTTGTGTGAGGTAACATAGCAACGTCTCTGTCTACAGGGTGTGGGACATAGCATAGCAACGTCTCTGTCTACAGGGTGTGGTACAAGGTGCTGGTCAGTGTTGTGTGTGAGGTAACATAGCAACGTCTCTGTCTACAGGGTGTGGGACAAGGTGCTGGTCAGTGTTGTGTGTGAGGTAACATAGCCACGTCTCTGTCTACAGGGTGTGGGACAAGGTGCTGGGCAGTGTTGTGTGTGAGGTAACATAGCCACGTCTCTGTCTACAGGGTGTGGGACAAGGTGCTGGTCAGTGTTGTGTGTGAGGTAACATAGCAACGTCTCTGTCTACAGGGTGTGGGACAAGGTGCTGGTCAGTGTTGTGTGTGAGGTAACATAGCCACGTCTCTGTCTACAGGGTGTGGGACAAGGTGCTGGTCAGTGTTGTGTGTGAGGTAACATAGCCACGTCTCTGTCTACAGGGTGTGGGACAAGGTGCTGGTCAGTGTTGTGTGTGAGGTAACATAGCAACGCGTCTCTGTCTACAGGGTGTGGGACAAGGTGCTGGTCAGTGTTGTGTGTGAGGTAACATAGCGTCTCTGTCTAACGTCTCTGTCTACAGGGTGTGGGACAAGGTGCTGGTCAGTGTTGTATGTGAGGTAACATAGCAACGTCTCTGTCTACAGGGGGTGTGGGACAAGGTGCTGGTCAGTGTTGTGTGTGAGGTAACATAGCAACGTCTCTGTCTACAGGGTGTGGGACAAGGTGCTGGGCAGTGTTGTGTGTGAGGTAGTAACATAGCATAGCGTCTCTGTCTACAGGGTGTGGGACAATGTTCTGTGTGTTGTGTGTGAGGTAACATAGGCCTCAGTGTTGTGTGTTGAGGAGGTAACATAGCAACGTCTCTGTCTACAGGGTGTGGGACAAGGTGCTGGTCAGTGTTGTGTGTGAGGTAACATAGCAACGTCTCTGTCTACAGGGTGTGGGACAAGGTGCTGGGCAGTGTTGTGTGTGAGGTAACATAGCAACGTCTCTGTCTACAGGGTGTGGGACAAGGTGCTGGTCAGTGTTGTGTGTGAGGTAACATAGCAACGTCTCTGTCTACAGGGTGTGGGACAAGGTGCTGGTCAGTGTTGTGTGTGAGGTAACATAGCAACGTCTCTGTCTACAGGGTGTGGGACAAGGTGCTGGTCAGTGTTGTGTGTGAGGTAACATAGCCACGTCTCTGTCTACAGGGTGTGGGACAAGGTGCTGGTCAGTGTTGTGTGTGAGGTAACATAGCAACGTCTCTGTCTACAGGGTGTGGGACAAGGTTCTGGTCAGTGTTGTGTGTGAGGTAACATAGCAACAACAGGTTTTGGCCAGTGTTGTGTGTGAGGTAACATAGCAACGTCTCTGTCTAGGGTGTGGGACAAGGTGCTGGTCAGTGTTGTGTGTGAGGTAACATAGCCACGTCTCTGTCTACAGGGTGTGGGACAAGGTGCTGGGCAGTGTTGTGTGTGAGGTAACATAGCAACGTCTCTGTCTACAGGGTGTGGGACAAGGTGCTGGGCAGTGTTGTGTGTGAGGTAACATAGCAACGTCTCTGTCTACAGGGTGTGGGACAAGGTGCTGGGGGGATCCCCATCGATCCTGGTGTTTGTAGCAGTCGCCATTTTCCTCACCTTCAGACGACCTCTTCTGAGTATGAACACTACAGATGAAATGGTCGCCTATCTTAGGAAGGTACGTTGTCATGTTGTTATGTGCGATATGGTCACGTATGAGAACGATAAATTACCCTTTGAGATATTGATATACAGGGCTCCAGATAATTTTTCAAGATCAGGAGTACGTACTCTTTATATTTTCAACGTTGGAGTACTGGAAAACCTTAAGAGTATATTTAGAGTACTGAATGGAATTTAATGGAGTATCAGTAATCTTGTGTTTTGTTTCATATATGCACCACAACATTGCTACTCTTGTGTAAACAGGTCAATAAACAATAAAATAATACTTTTTCAGATCAATATGTCTGTAAATGATTCTAAGACCATACACCATTGTTGTATCTGCTACGTTTCCTAAATTATTTCCTACCATTGTCATGTGAGAGTGGTCAACATCTCCGGAAGGTAGGTTGTCATGTGAGATATGGTCATGTATCTCTGGAGGATGGGTTGTCATGTGAGATATGGTCACGTATCTCTGGAGGATGGGTTGTCATGTGAGATATGGTAACTTATCTCTGGAGGATGGGTTGACATGTGAGATATGGTCATGTATCTCTGGAGGATGGGTTGTCATGTGAGATATGGTCATGTATCTCTGGAGGATGGGTTGTCATGTGAGATATGGTCACGTATCTCTGGAGGATGGGTTTTCATGTGAGATATGGTAACTTATCTCTGGAGGATGGGTTGTCATGTGAGATATGGTCATGTATCTCTGGAGGATGGGTTGACATGTGAGATATGGTCACTTATCTCTGAAGATGGGTTTTCATGTGAGATATGGTCATGTATCTCTGGAGGATGGGTTGTCATGTGAGATATGGTCACGTATCTCTGGAGGATGGGTTGTCATGTGAGATATGGTCATGTATCTCTGGAGGATGGGTTGTCATGTGAGATATGGTCACTTATAACTGAAGGATGGGTTGTCATGTGAGATATGGTCACTTATCTCCTGAAGATGGGTTTTCATGTGAGATATGGTAACTTATCTCTGGAGGATGGGTTGTCATGTGAGATATGGTCATGTATCTCTGGAGGATGGGTTGTCATGTGAGATATGGTCACGTATCTCCTGAAGATGGGTTGTCATGTGAGATATGGTCATGTATCTCTGGAGGATGGGTTGTCATGTGAGATATGGTCACTTATAACTGAAGGATGGGTTTTCATGTGAGATATGGTCACTTATCTCTGGAGGATGGGTTTTCATGTGAGATATGGTAACTTATCTCTGGAGGATGGGTTGACATGTGAGATATGGTCACTTATCTCTGAAGGATGGGTTGTCATGTGAGATATGGTAACTTATCTCTGGAGGATGGGTTTTCATGTGAGATATGGTCACTAATAACTGAAGGATGGGTTGTCATGTGAGATATGGTAACTTATCTCTGGAGGATGGGTTGTCATGTGAGATATGGTCACTTATCTCTGGAGGATGGGTTTTCATGTGAGATATGGTCACTTATCTCTGGAAGTATGGGTTGTCATGTGAGATATGGTCACTTATAACTGAAGGATGGGTTGTCATGTGAGATATGGTCACTTATCTCCAGAAGATGGGTTTTCATGTGAGATATGGTAACTTATTTCTGGAGGATGGGTTGACATGTGAGATATGGTCACTTATAACTGAAGGATGGGTTGTCATGTGAGATATGGTCATGTATCTCCTGAAGATGTGTTGTCATGTGAGATATGGTCACGTATCTCTGGAGGATGGGTTTTCATGTGAGATATGGTCATGTATCTCCTGAAGATGGGTTTTCATGTGAGATATGGTAACTTTTCTCTGGAGGATGGGTTTTCATGTGAGATATGGTCATGTATCTCCTGAAGATGTGTTGTCATGTGAGATATGGTCACGTATCTCTGGAGGATGGGTTGTCATGTGAGATATGGTCATGTATCTCTGGAGGATGGGTTGTCATGTGAGATATGGTCACGTGTCTCTGGAGGATGGGTTGACATGTGAGATATGGTCACTTATCTCCTGAAGATGGGTTTTCATGTGAGATATGGTCATGTATCTCTGGAGGATGGGTTGTCATGTGAGATATGGTCACTTATAACTGAAGGATGGGTTTTCATGTGAGATATGGTCACTTATCTCCTGAAGATGGGTTGTCATGTGAGATATGGTCATGTATCTCTGGAGGATGGGTTGTCATGTGAGATATGGTCACGTATCTCTGGAGGATGGGTTTTCATGTGAGATATGGTCATGTATCTCTGGAGGATGGGTTGTCATGTGAGATATGGTCACTTATAACTGAAGGATGGGTTTTCATGTGAGATATGGTCACTTATCTCCTGAAGATGGGTTTTCATGTGAGATATGGTAACTTATTTCTGGAGGATGGGTTGTCATGTGAGATATGGTCATGTATCTCTGGAGGATGGGTTGACATGTGAGATATGGTCACGTATCTCCTGAAGATGGGTTTTCATGTGAGATATGGTCATGTATCTCTGGAGGATGGGTTGTCATGTGAGATATGGTCACTTATAACTGTCATGAAGGATGGTAACTTATCATGTGAGATATGGTCACTATCTCCTGAAGATGGATGTTTTCATGTGAGATATGGTAACTTATTTCTGGAGGATGGGTTGACATGTGAGATATGGTCACTTATAACTGAAGGATGGGTTGTCATGTGAGATATGGTGACTTATCTCTGGAGGATGGGTTTTCATGAGATATGGTCACTATATAACTGAAGGATGGGTTGTCATGTGAGATATGGTAACTTATCTCTGGAGGATGGGTTGTCATGTGGAGATATGGTGACTTATCTCTGGAGGATGGATTAAGGACCCAGGACCCGTGGATCAGCAGTGGATGGAAGGATCCGGTATGGATCCGGTGGACCAGTGAAACGGACCCAGACCCAGGATCAGCAGGAGCCGGAAAGGATCTTGCAGTGGATCTGCAGTGGAAGGATCTGAGCCGGAAGGAGCCGGACCGTGGATCCCGTGGTGGTATGACCGGACCTGCAGTGGCAGGGACCCAGGAAGGATCTGGTATGGATCAGGACCCAGAGAAGGATCCAGTGGAAAAGGATCCCAGCAGTGGATGAGCAGTGGCACAGGATCCCAGCAGTGGATCAGCAGTGAACAGACCAGTGGAAGGATCAGCAGGATCTGCAGTGATCCAGAAGCCCAGGATCTCAGGAAGGATCTCAGCCAGGATCAGCAGTGAGATCTGGAAGGACTCAGTATGGATCTCAGGAAGGACCAGTGGACCCAGTGGATTCAGGTAGGAAGAAAGGGATCTGCATGGATCAGTGGATTCAGGAAAGGAAGGATCCAATGTTTGTTTTATCCCATGTAGATCCCTGAGGACTGTGGTGACAAGCTTGTGAGTGATGCTGTCGAGTTGTGGCAGAAACATGGATTCCATATGATGCAGCCCAAGTCTGACTCCCCTGTCCATGACAAGACTGGAACCTGATGGGTGGGCCGTCCTCAGCCTGTAACTGTCTACATCTACCTGTGTCTGCCTTGTGTCACCCCCATCTGTCACATCTCATCTCTCCATCCAGGTGCACAGGTACACCAGATTATTCAAGATATACAACTGGTGTGATTCAAGATATATGCCTGATGTGAATCAAGATATACACCAGGTTTAATTCAAGATATATCAGCTGCTGTTTGCTTCCACCGGTCTATCATGTGATTGTTGATATATCAATATGAGTCGATGCACTCAGGAAGGTATGGTCCTGTGAGGAACCATCTGGCTGCCACAACTGGCTTCCTGTCCAAGCTGACTGGGGATTGGATGGCCATCACCACCTGGTTGTTGGTGAAGCCGATCGGCCTGACCTGTTTGTCATGGACTGACAGACACACAATTGGAAAAGTGCAGAGTGTGTCGCAAAAGTACATTCATTCAAATTAAGTTATGATGCTCAAATTAAAACTTATTTTCCTTTTCACCACTGACATTTGGTGCAATGGATGGAGAGAGAGAGAGAGAGAGAGAGAGAGAGAGAGAGAGAGAGAGAGAGAGAGAGAGAGAGAGAGAGAGAGAGAGAGAGAGAGAGAGAGAGAGAGAGAGAGAGAGAGAGAGAGAGAGAGAGAGAGAGAGAGAGATTAATGATTTCCTTTATAGAGTACATGAAATATCTGTCTGTAACTGTGTGTTGTCGGCATACTGTTCAGTATAGCACTGCATGCCTAGACGCCGCTAGTGGGTGGTTGAGGTGGACATTGTACCATTCAGCCCTGGGCAGCACATTCACTGTATTGTTGACTAATGGCCTTTACTTGTAGTGGGGCATCTAAGTGGTCTTTGGTTGCAACACTGTTGGCTGATATCTTTTCTCATCAAATATGGATACTCTTTTGATATATTTTCTGATGGTGAATTTATAAGAAGCTAAACCATTTTATGAATGGCCCCGAATATGCTTCTTATCAAATTGATGTTAAGTGTTTCAATCCAATTTTCAAAAGATCTGCTGTGTTAAAAGTTCACTTTCAACAGTTTGAATAATTTGTGTGAAATTGAATTCAGTGAAGTATGTCATGAGTGAAAAGTGGGCTGAGTATGTGGCCTCAAGGTTGCCATTGTGTATTTACAAATATAATACATACAGATTACAACACGAGTGGGTGGTGAATATTCCAACTGAATATTTTTAAATGTTTTGATTTATTCACGACTGCAAGCCAGTGAATGATTCAAAACGTTTAAAATGTATTGAGTTGGAATATTTGCCATATTCAACATCCACGAGTTTTGCGATCTATTTATTACACACGGCACAGGAATAGTGTGATCCATTATGACAAATCAAGCAGACGATGTTAACACAATGAAAGGGAGATAACTCTGTCATGACTACTTTACGGATGAAAATAAACAATTAAAAATGGATCCACCTATGTAATGTTAATTTATGATATCGAAGTAGCGAAAGAAAGTTGGGCATTGTGATGCCACTGTCGTTTGAATTATCTAGTTAAGTTACACAACACTCATTGGATAACTTTCAACTGGTTACACAACACCTGTTTCAAATAGCCAAAATTATCTTATAAAGATATTCAGAACATGTGTGTAATAAAGATCTTTATGTCCACCACAGCAGCTATACTGGAAAGTCTCTGCTCAGTAAGTCCCCTGAACAGGAGTTGAACTAGGGCGTTGATGTTACTCCCTATAATCCCATCAAATCATCAGATTTAAGTGTTAGTTGTGAGTCATCAGTAATTAGGAAGTAAATACTGGAATATCAGTACTGACTGCAACTTCAGTCACTCGGTTGGATAGATATCTTATGGCAGTTAAGTTTTTGTTGGAATTGTTACATAGTTGGTCGTTTTAGTAGCGTTTTGAAATGTACATTTATCTAGAGATCTAGAAGCCGTTCAGGTGGAGGAACGGAAGGATGGTCCTCAAACCTTCTTCGAAGACCCCATGAGCGCCAGTATCGCATGCACGCTTCGATATTGATGGACAAGACTGAAACTTGCCATTTATTGATGGGTTTAGGGGAATGTTTAAATAAAGACGAACAGTTTTCCTCAAACAACCAACACCCATGTGTTATCACTACCATGCACTATCATACTGTAGTTGACAGAAAAAAGTCCTGACACTAACTGTTGGTCTCTACCTCGTCCAGGAGCAGAACATCCAGTTCAGCTTCAGATGGTGCACAAAGTCACCCTGAGAACATCTGTAATATCATGGTAGCAGATCATATGAAACATCCTCGGTGAAATAGAATAAATTTTTTGACCGAGACCACGTCAATTACACAAGAGCAGAACATAAAAGAAGACAGGCGTTACTCCTGAATTACGTTCCCTCTCCTGATGTCACTATACTAGTGACCATGTATGTAGTATGAAGAGCATGTGTATTACCCAAACAGTGACGCTGGTCCGTGCTTGGTTCACAGCGGCTTCAGGTCCGTCAAGTGGGTTGCATTAGACATTTTGATCTTCAGATCCACCATCAAATAACCCCAAAGAACATATTCTCAATCGGCTATAAAAACACAAATGTGCAAAGACCCATCTTTATTTCATTCCCAATTACATTAAACGTTTCCCTAGAGGATCATCTGGAGATGAACTCAACACAGGAGTGTTTCGGAAACGGGGAACCTGGGAAGACAAAAGAAACAGAGTAACATGGACGCTGCGGCTGGCAACACAGACAGTCAGCTGATCCGGACACACGTCACGTGTTCTCCGTCCTGACACTACCCACCATAAACCTTGGAGGCCTGCAGGTGAGTGTCCGCCTCTCATGACTGCTGCCACAGTTGGGATCAATTTGAGTTCAGCCTGAACACCGAGTTGAAAGAAAATGCAGATATTGTGATACACGCATCTGTTGACACATTCTCTATGTCATTGTAGTGTGAACACGGTCAGAGACAATGTTGGTGTGACATACCACCCATCGATCTTGTTGCATGTTTATTGCCAAGTATAGTCCCAATGGAGACGGGTCATTTGTTATACAAGTCATTTGTTAATACTGCCATCAAAACAATGTAATATTTCCAGAGCTATAGAAAACAATTGTTGCTTAATGCAAGTATCTTTGTAAATCTATAAAAATCGATAGCCATGATTTCGCACATTTTATTAATATGGTAACTGTAGAATGTTCTCTTCAAATTAGGATGACAATAAGCCTCTTAGAACTTCTTGACGCCTTCAAGAGTGAGTGAGTGAGTTGAGTTTTACGCCGCACTCAGCAATATTCTAGCTATATGGCGGCGTTCTGTAAATAATGGAGTCTGGACCAGACAATCCAGTGATCAACAGCATGAGCATCGATCTGCGCAATTGGGAACCGATGACGTGTCAACCAAGTCAGCGAGCCTGACCACCCGATCCCGTTAGTCTCCTCTTACGACAAGCATAGTCGCCTTTTGTGGCAAGCATGGGTTGCTGAATACCTATTCTACCCCGGATCCTCACGGGCCGACGCCTTCAAGAGAGGAATGCACCGAGTTTACCCATTTTGGAATCGTCACGGTCCTGAATAGGTCCCCACAAACAATCATCGATACCACAATGGATTCTTTGGCTGCGGATAAAGTAGGTTTTAATATCGTGTTTCTGTAAATCGTCTATTTTCTATCAGTAACTACACCAGTAGGTTTGGACCAAACACATTTCACATTAGCATAAGTCATAAAACCACTCCTACCAAAATCACCTATTTAGAGGAGATTATTAGACATAATCTGTCTCTCTGTTAAAAGGCGCCGAGTATGACAGCCTGTAGTTGAAAGCGCATTAGAATTGGGAACACATGCCATTCTGTCCGCCCGGCGACCTGAATGGTGGTGAATCCTTTACATATGTATCTGTGTGACCCTATTCGATCTGCGGGAGGAAGACAAGTGTAAGTGGTGACTAACCAGTTAGGAAACATTGACCCCCTGACCGTGTGACCAACTGTATAGCAGATAGTGTATAGTGTGTACCACAGGGGACGGTGTAGGGTAGTGACCTGGGTGTAGAAGTGTCCGTCTCTGTCAACGCCTTCCAAACGTTTTTACAAATAGTTGACACATTAGATTTAGTGGATGGCAAAATTTTGGAGTAAAATATTTCGAATCAGTTCGTTGGCTATCTCTGAACATCAAAACTACTTATCTGTCTGTGCTATGATTAAGTAAAACCTACTTAGGTAATATATAGTTACTTGTATCTCTACATACATCTGACTTTGGTAATATCAAGTAAGTCGTACCTCTACACATCTGACTTTGGTATATCAAGTGAAGTCGTACCTCTACATACATTTGACTTTGTAATATCAAGTCGTAAGTCGTACGTACTCTACATACATCTGACTTTGGTAATATCAAGTAAGTCGTACCTCTACATACATCTGACTTTAGGTTATATCAAGTAAGTCGTACCTCTACATACATCTGACTTTGGTAATATCAAGTAAGTCGTACTTCTACATACATTTGTCTTTGTTAATATCAAGTAAGTCGTACCTCTACATACATTTGTCTTTGGTAATATCAAGTAAGTCGTACCTCTACATACATTTGTCTTTGGTAATCTACATACATCTGACTTTGGTAATATCAAGTAAGTCGTATCTCCTACATACATCTGACTTTGGTAATATCAAGTAAGTCGTAAATTCTACATACATCTGTACATACATCTGACTTTGGTAATATCAAGTAAGTCGTACCTCTACATACATCTGACTTTGGTAATATCAAGTAAGTCGTACCTCTACATACATCTACATCTGACTGGGTAATATCAAGTAAGTCGTACCTCTACATACATCTGACTTGGTAATATCAAGTAAGTCGTACCTCTACATACATTTGTCTTTGGTAATATCAAGTAAGTCGTACCTCTACATACATCTGTCTTTGGTAATATCAAGTAAGTCGTACCTCTACATACATTTGTCTTTGGTAATATCAAGTAAGTCGTATCTCTACATACATCTGACTTTGTAATATCAAGTAAGTCGTACCTCTACATACATCTGACTTTGGTATCAAGTAAGTCGTACCTCTACATACATCTGACTTTTGACTTTGGTAATATCAAGTAAGTCGTACCTCTACATACATCTGACTTTGGTAATATCAAGTAAGTCGTACCTCTACATACATCTGACTTTGGTAATATATCAAAATTCTACATACATTTGTCTTTGGTAATATCAAGTAAGTCGTACCTCTACATACATCTTGAATATCTTTACCTCTACATACATCTGTTAATATCAAGTAAGTCGTACCTCTACATACATCTGACTTTGGTAATATCAAGTAAGTCGTACCTCTACAAGTACATACATTTGTACATATGGTAATATCAAGTGCTAATATGACTTTGGTAATATCAAGTAAGTTGGTAATATCAAGTCTCGTAATATTCTACATACATCTGACTTTGGTAATATCAAGTAAGTCGTACC